GACCAAGCCTAAGCCTAACATAACCTCAATAATTACTGTTCAAGTGTTTAGACAAGCGGTCGGTAAACAAAGAAAAGGCTTCGGAATCAGAAATCAGAATGTATTCGGTTCCGTCACAGTCACAAGTTTTGCTTCTGGTCGTTTGTTAGTTGAATAACGAGTTCGAAATTCAAAGTTTAAGTCGTTCTAAGCCAGTCCGTTCTGTTACAAGTTCGTGTTTTTCAAGCGTTGTGCCTCTGATCCTTGAAAAAGTGTCGGCTAATTCATATGAGATACTCAGTGCTCGTTGATCAGTTCGATTGCAGCCATCCACGCACATTCTCATTCCTGTAAGTACTATGAAGAAATATCCATTTTCACAGCATGCAAGTGTTAAATTTCAAGTCGACAGTGTAAGTCGGCAATCACATAACTCGTTCGCGGTGTCTGAAAATCTCCGCTTCTAAGTTATATTTTTAGGAGAGAACAAATTGACATCATTCCTTGAAGTTTTTGCAGAATTTTCTTCGCACAGGGAAGAAAAATCACGGCAGTGTTAAAGAATTGCCGTTGAGTAGTTTTCTGTTACAAAAATAAGGTATGATAAGACGTCTGCGACTTCGCAAACCGAGTTATGTGATTGCCGACTTACACAGTCGAAGTGTGTCATGCTTAAATACGTGTGGGGTAGATGTAGAAGTGAATGAGGGCTGTGTTTGTTTTTTTGATCGATTCCAACCGAGGGCATATGACATAGGTTAAAAGGCGGAGCAAGATTGTTTGTCTATGTCTTATCGTTGCTATGTTGTGCCTATGTCCAGTGGAACTCACAAGAAGCCAAAAGCACCTCTTAAGTTTCCGACAGTATGTCGTCCATTCTATCTTACTTAGGCACGACATAGCCGCCGCTTTGTCATAGCTGACCAATCACACTCTGTCTTTTAACCCACATTATCTATGTCTACCCGACAAACACAAAATTTCTACAATCAGGCTGCTGCTTACCAAGCATCTCAACCTGAACTAGCCTAATGTCCTATGGAGGGAAGCATTGTAAAAACTACAGTTGAGCTGATCCCATGCTCCGCCAACTGTGAGTTTCATACACTGGAGTTTGCCACAAAGCTCCGTGAACCCAAAGTGTTGCTTATGAGAATGAAGAGGGTGAAACTACGTTTCTGTGACATTACAATAGTGGATGAAACTCGGCTGTGATTTAACATGTGTTCTTATGGGAGTACGCATGATGTATAATCCATTTGTGTCGGTATCTTTTCAGGGGTTGATGTGGTTGCAGAATTCATAAGAACCTTTTTGTAAGAAGAAAAAATTTTACTTCGGAAAATGCATTTTATGAAGTCATAATCTGTTGAATACTGAAAACCCCTATTTCTGTATCAGGATTGTAGCAGCTTCCAAGATCTCAAATCACCAAATTGGTAAGTTACTTAATTTCAGTGTCTAGATCTCCATGTCTTCCTCTTAGATTTCATTAGGAGCAAGTTCGGCAAAAAAGAAACCAACTTTATTGCTTTATTTCAGAAACAAATATCTGCCATTTCTTTTCCTATACAAATATGTACCTTTCCAAACACAACCTTCGGATCGAGTTTGGAAAAGAGGGACCAATTCTTGTCAGCTTATTATATTTCAGAAACATTAGTTCTGCATTTTTCCATTTACAAATAACTATTAGGTTGATTCTTTTCTTTGCGCACTACCTTGTATCTTGTTCTTTTCTGCTGAATTTCTTCCCCTTGGAGTCCGCGGAGAAAGAGCCTTGCCCAAAAGTGGTGTTTTTTAGCCCCTTTTTGTATACCCGCATGGGTCATCGGGACAAGGCTCAAATGAAAGCTTATGGTAATGCAAACTTCCATGTGAAGTATCAACTTGAAGTGACCCCTCGTTTAGGCTGTACAGCGTTGCCAATTATCTATTTTTATGCGCTATACTCAAGGAATACTGGATCATCATGGTTCAACAGGCTAGTACACCCGAGTTGGTCAACAGGACAAGGCTCAAACGAAAGCTTATGGTAAGGAAAACTTCCAGGAAAAGTTTCAACTTGAAGTGAAACCTCGTTTAGGCTGTAGAGCGTTGCCAATTTTCCATTTTTATGTGCAAAAATTGAGGAATTCTGGATCACCATACTTCAACAGACTAGTACACCCGAGTTGCTCAACGAGACAAGGCTCAAATGAAAGCTTATGATAAGGCAAACTTCCAGGAAAAGTTTCAACTTGAAGTGAAACCTCGTTTAGGCTGTACAACATTGCCAATTTTCCATTTTTATGTGCTAAAATCAAGGAATTCGGGACTAATAGTCCATGGCATCATAATTAAACAGACTAGTGCATCGGTCCACGAACTAAATACTACCCTGAGATCGAATAGAAGCGCAACCAAAGGCCATCCTGAACGTTTCAGAGCAGTGTTGCTAATTTATTATTAAATTTTTTAAACATAAAATTAGGGTATTTTCGAGATTTTTGGCGGAAAACGTACCTTCATGGGCTATAGCTTTGATGAGTATGGACTCTAGTCTGTTTAATAATGATGCACTGGACTACTAGTCCCGAATTCCTTGATTTTAGCACATAAAAATGGAAAATTGGCAACGCTGTACAGCCTAAACGAGGTTTCACTTCAAGTTGAAACTTTTCCTGGAAGTTTGCCTTATCATTAGCTTTCATTTGAGCCTTGTCTCGTTAACCAACTCGGGTGTACTAGTCTATTGAACTATGGTGATCCAGAATTCCTCAATTTTTGCAAATAAAAATGGAAAATTGGCAACGCTGCACAGCCTAAACGAGGTTTCACTTCAAGTTGAAACTTTGCATGGAAGTTTGCCTCACCATAAGCTTTCGTTTAAGCCTTGTCCTGTTGACCAACTCGGGTGTACTAGCCTGTTGAACGATGATGATTCAGTATTCCTTGAGTATAGCACATAAAAATAGAAAATTGGCAACGCTGTACAGCCTAAACGAGGTTTTATTTCAAGTTGAAACTTTTCCTGGAAGTTTGCCTTATCATACGCTTTCATTTGAGCCTTGTCCCGTTGACCAATTCGGGTGTACTAGTTTGTTGAACCATGATGATCCAGAATTCCTCGATATTACCATCTTGAAAATGGAAATTGGCAACGCTGTGCAGCCTAAACGAGGTTTCACTTCAAGTTGAAACTTTGCATGGAAGTTTGCCTTACCATCAGCTTTCGTTTGAGCCTTGTCCTCTTGACCAACTCGGGTCAACTAGCCTGTTGAACCATGATGATTCAGTATTCATTGAGTATAGCGCATAAAAATGGAAAATTGGCAACGCTGTACAGCCTAAACAAGGGGTCACTTCAAGTTGATACTTTACATGGAAGTTTGCCTTACCAGAAGCTTTCATTTAAGCCCTCTCTCGTTGACCAACTCGGGTTTACAAAAAAAGGGGCTAAACTTGGCGAGGCTCTTTTGACGCAATATTTTCGCTCGTTTCATACCTCATTTTAAAAAATGAATTTAATAAACCCAATCCGAGATTCTGAATCGTTGCAATTTAGGGATACACTTTCACTCAAATTGTGGTAAAAACGGGACAGAGAGTCAAGGATAATGGCGTGCAGTCCTGCCTTTGCGGCGATTTTAGCGGCGCGCCAGCCAGGGAGATCGCACGGGACGGGACCCGAGTAATTGCTGGAGTGTGGCGCGCCTTCAATCCGGCTGGCAGCAACATGCTTACACCCGTGGTCGAATAGTTGTATCGCTGCGCCTGCCGTGAATGAGTTCAAATATCCTTTCCTACACGCGTAAGGAAGCGTATTTAGCTCCGACTGCAACGTTGCAGACCTCAAATAATGTCTTATTTTTAATCATTCTTGTTACGAAAGGCAAATACAGTTTTTCTAAGCAATTTCCGCGGATTTTCATCAGTCTCCGGAAATTTTGACGCAATATTTTCGCTCGTTTCATACCTCATTTTAAAAAAATGAATTTAATAAACCCAATCCGAGATTCTGAATCGGTACAATTCAGGGATACACTTTCACTCAAATTGTGGTAAAAACGGGACAGAGAGTCAAGGATAATGGCGTGCAGTCCTGCCTTTGCGGCGATTTTAGCGGCGCGCCAGCCAGGGAGATCGCACGGGACGGGACCCGAGTAATTGCTGGAGTGTGGCGCGCCTTCAATCCGGCTGGCAGCAACATGCACTAGCAAACCGTGGTCGAATAGTTGTATCGCTGCGCCTGCCGTGAATGAGTTCAAATATCCTTTCCTACACGCGTAAGGAAGCGTATTTAGCTCCGACTGCAACGTTGCAGACCTCAAATAATGTCTTATTTTTAATCATTCTTGTTACGAAAGGCAAATACAGTTTTTCTAAGCAATTTCCGCGGATTTTCATCAGTCTCCGGAAATTTTGACGCAATATTTTCGCTCGTTTCATACCTCATTTTAAAAAAATGAATTTAATAAACCCAATCCGAGATTCTGAATCGTTACAATTCAGGGATACACTTTCACTCAAATTGTGGTAAAAACAGGACAGAGAGTCAAGGATAATGGCGTGCAGTCCTGCCTTTGCGGCGATTTTAGCGGCGCGCCAGCCAGGGAGATTCCACGGGACGGGACCCGAGTAATTGCTGGAGTGTGGCGCGCCTTCAATCCGGCTGGCAGCAACATGCACTAGCAAACCGTGGTCGAATAGTTGTATCGCTGCGCCTGCCGTGAATGAGTTCAAATATCCTTTCCTACACGCGTAAGGAAGCGTATTTAGCTCCGACTGCAACGTCGCAGACCTCAAATAATGTCTTATTTTTAATCATTCTTGTTACGAAAGGCAAATACAGTTTTTCTAAGCAATTTCCGCGGATTTTCATCAGTCTCCGGAAATTTTGACGCAATATTTTCGCTCGTTTCATACCTCATTTTAAAAAAATGAATTTAATAAACCCAATCCGAGATTCTGAATCGGTACAATTCAGGGATACACTTTCACTCAAATTGTGGTAAAAACGGGACAGAGAGTCAAGGATAATGGCGTGCAGTCCTGCCTTTGCGGCGATTTTAGCGGCGCGCCAGCCAGGGAGATCGCACGGGACGGGACCCGAGTAATTGCTGGAGTGTGGCGCGCCTTCAATCCGGCTGGCAGCAACATGCACTAGCAAACCGTGGTCGAATAGTTGTATCGCTGCGCCTGCCGTGAATGAGTTCAAATATCCTTTCCTACACGCGTAAGGAAGCGTATTTAGCTCCGACTGCAACGTCGCAGACCTCAAATAATGTCTTATTTTTAATCATTCTTGTTACGAAAGGCAAATACAGTTTTTCCAATCAATTTCCGCGGAATTTTTCCAGTCGGCGGAAAGAGCCTCGCCAAGTTTAGGCCCTTTCTTTGTATACCCGAGTTGGTCAACGGGACAAGGCGCAAATGAAAGCTTATGGTAAGGCAAACTTCCATGTAAAGTATCAACTTGAAGTGAAACCTCGTTTAGGCTGTACAGTGTTGCCAATTTTCCATTTTTATGTGCAAAAATTGAGGAATTCTGGATCACTATGGTTCAACAGGCTAGTACACCCGAGTTGGTCAAGAGGACAAGGCTCAAACGAAAGCTGATGGTAGGGCAAACTTCCATGCAAAGTTTCAACTTGAAGTGAAACCTCGTTTAGGCTGTACATCGTTGCCAATTTCCATTTTCAAGATGGTAATATCGCGGAATTCTGGATCACCATGGTTCAACAAACTAGTACACCCGAGTTGTGAGTTTTTGGTGAGTTTTTGGGGTGAGAATATGTGAGTTTTTGGAAAAAGTTAAGTTTCATTTCAGTTAAAAAAAAAAAAAAAAAAAACTAAAATAAAAGAAATAAAGAAACAATCGGAATGTCACCTTAAAAGTTTCTAACTTTGTAAGTGTGCTTCAGGGAAATTCGCAGCAAATCTTAAGAAAAATCATTGCTCCTGTTTTTAAAAGATGTGCATATTTATAATCCCAAATGAGTGCGAAAGTGTCCAACGTGGCAGTCTTGGATTTATAAGCAATTTTTGCGTGTAGCCATTCATATTTGACTTCATGTACGGGAGGTGTTTCTGAGATAACTATTCGACCACAGATGATGCCCACATTGCCGCCAGCTGAATTTGAAGGCGCGTCTTATTATACTGTGACAATAAAATTGCTTAGAGTGTGGCGAAAGCGAAACCACAACCCACCTGGGCATACGTGTTTCAATTTTTGAGATCGGTGGATGATGAACATTTAATCATGCCCATTCATAATGGTCACGGTCTATGTCAGAATCATTTTACCTAAGTTGGGAATGCACACTGAAAAAAAATTCTCGGCGTTTATACCAAGGTCCGTTGGTACCTTTACCATCTCACTTTGTTTACCAATTATTGGTAATTTTACCAAGACAGACTGGTAAGCTTACCTAAAAACCGGTATTTTTACTGCTTTTTTCAGGTAAGAATACCACTTTTATTGGTAATCAATTCCCGGTAACTTTGCCATTTTATCTCGGTAATTCTACCACAGTCGATAAAAAATATTGGCGTTTTTACCGGGGTCCAGTAAAGTTACCGAGAAAGTCAATAATTTTACCGAGATTTCTCGGTAAAATTACCAATAACATAAATGGTAATTTTACCGAGAAAAAACTTGGATCAAATAGAACCCTGAATTCTTGGTAATTTTACCCTTTTTTTAGTAAATACACCGAGATTTTTTTTTAGTGCACTGAACAAGAACGTAACTCTTAAATGTGATCGGTGAATTCAACGTGAACGTGTAAATGAAGTTTCTCTATGAGGCTTTGGCTCGTCATAATATTCGAGAAGTTTTGTGGTATTTATCTTCAACGTGCTTACAACCCTACCGAGAAAGTATGACAGATACCTTAGTAGGTATCTTGATTAAGTTGCTTTTTTCCCTTTTTTTAAAATGGACCACTAGACAAGGTACGAATTTAAGCATTCTGATACATGTTTCTTAACCAGAATTTCACGTAGAACACGACTCGCGCAATGAAAATTACTGAAACCAACTCCTAACGAAGATATTAACGTTTTTATTTCACATTGGTTACGAGGAATTTGAACTGCCCGCTCACAAGAAACTCAAAGCTCTGCGTGAGTCAAATCGCGCACTACAACGGTTTCGGCAATCTTCTCTATCGAGCAATGTTCATTTCCCATCATGTGTTGTTCAAACTATAAGCTATTTGCTATAGCTAAGCCAAAGCGTCAAGATTGAGGTTGCCAGATTTTTATATCGCAGAGATTGTCATGATACACGTTTAGCGCGCGATGTGATTCACGTAGAGCATTGAGTTTTCATGAGCGGGTGGTTTGAATTCACATATCAAGAATCATTAAATATCTTTGTAAGGAGTTGATTTCAATACTTTCCGTTGTGCGTATCGTGTTTTACGTGAAATTTTGGTTAAGAAACATGTATGAGAATGCTGACATTCGTACCTTGTCTAGTGGTCCATTTAATTTTAATGCTCGAGGTATAAAGTGAGAGTAAAAATAACCAACATTGTGTACGTTCCTTGGGCTGCCGAAACTGAGATACGCTCAGATTCGCCACGAAACGTAGATTGTACTGCTGTCAAAAATAATATGGCCAAAAATAATATGGGCCTAGAATTATATATTAAATAATATATAATTCTAAAATGCTCCGTATTGAAACTGTGTCTCGGTTAACATAACTTCGGACTAGGTCGTCCTCTTTGTCTATCAATTTCAATGATCAGTCCACTGCCTTTCTAAGAACCGATTGATCCGGATTAATATGACCAGTCATCATTTAAAAGGGAAGAGAATGTTGCCAATTTGCATGAATCACTGCTGGAGGTGATTGCACCGGTGAGGTTTATGGTTTTCGTAGTTTGTTTTCGTTTCGCTAATTCGATATAGGTACTAGAACAACGTCCTCAGGGTATCCGGCATCTAGCGACCGGGAAAGTCAGCACACTGGGAAAAAAAACACATTGGATCTAGAGTCCAGACTCTTTCGACAAGAAAAAATACTCTTGATTCAATCAGATTTAAGCTTAAATCAAGAACCAAGCCTCTTAATTTGAGCGCATTTCCTTTTGATTTAAGCCTAAATCTGATTGAATCAAGAGTCCTTTTTGTTGTCACTGTTTTCAAGAGTCAGGGCTCTAGATCCAATGTGTTTTTTTTCCAGTGCAGGCTGATTATTGAAATTCACACGCAAAGCTATCAATTTAAGCCTCAGCTGATCCAGAAAGAAGGAATTAACACAAACTAACATGTGTTTTGGACTCGCAAAAACTAACTATTAAGGTCAGAAACTGGCAGGAAAAGGCGTCATTGTACTTAAAACTACTGCTGCCATTGGCTCTTTAGCGGAATTATGCCCTTTACGGCCTTTTCAACCGAAAGAATGTCAATTTTTGCTTAGGGTTTTGTCTTACGTCTCGTTTTTACACGGGAAGAACGGACTGCTGTCATGGCAGCATCGGTCTTTTCGTCCTAATTAAATTAGACAAATTTTGAAAGAAACTAGATTTCGAAAATTTGAGAGTTGTCACGGCGCACAGTGGATCGAGTCAATTCGAGAGGTCGGACTTGAAATTTTTGACAAAAACTGCACATTTTTACGTTCATTTCGCCACATTTCAAACTTTAAGAGGTGTCTCTTGTACAATATTTCACGAGAAAACCAATAGAACCACTTTTAGAACTTTTAAGTTTTGTGTAAACGGAATTATAAGCGTATAAAGTATCCAAATTTTGTCCGACCTCTCCTATTGACTCGATCCACTGTGCGGCAGGACGGGTTCGCACAGCAGGTATTGGCGCTGAGCTCCGTTGAGCGATCGATTTTTACGAAACTCTGTATCAGAGAGCTCTTTTTGACGCGAACTATATTTAGCACGGTAAAGGAACTTCTCGGTATAAACAATTGAGACTTTTATCATTCGTCCAAAATAAAGCTGAATACTCGATTTCAATCCGGGAAGTCATCAGCTACTCATAACACTAATATGTGAGAATTGGCCATGATTTTGCATTCAACGTATGCGCAGCTAAACAGCACTCAAAGTCAACACATCAAGACGCCACTCTCCGCAGGTAGCGGTCGGACCAACATAAAACGCCTCCAATTGCGTGCGATACTGTGCAACACGCCAAAGTCGAAGTATTTGTATTCTTGAGTTGGAACCGAACTCGAGTGAATTGCGCCACCAACTAAAGCGTGTCAACCGGTTAACTGCTTTATCTCAATCTACGTCACATGCTTTATGCTCCTTTTTGCTCGTGGCAATCTAAGCCCCAATTTATCCAGAAAGAAAGAATGAACATCATTAATGTTGCTAACGAATATCGTTATCCGATACATTGCAAACTTCCACCCCGCGGGTACCCGTATCCAATGGCGTGGCGTGAATGATCGAGTATCAATGTTTTCCTATCCGAAGCTATAGTGAAAAATCTACTATGAAGGTGTTCGTCGCGAACCATTCAATTACAGTCATTGCTCCTCCTCATCCAGTATTGAAGATAATTTAAAGAAACACATGCGAACGCATACTGATAATGAGAAGCTATTTAGTTGCAATCATTGCTCCATCTCTTTCAGTAGTAAAGGCGGATTAAAGATGCACATCCGGACGCACACTGGTGAGAAGCCATTCAGTTGCAGTCATTGCACGGCATGCTTTTCTCACAAAAAGTCTTTAACGGCACATGTTCGCACGCATACTGGTGAGAAACCATTCAGTTGCAATCCTTGCTCCTCTTCGTTCAGTAGAAAAGACTATTTAAAGATGCACATGCGAACGCACACTGGTGAGAAACCATTCCGTTGCAATCATTGCTCCTCTTCTTTCAGTGGTAAAGACTGTTTAAAGATGCACTTGCGAACGCACACTGGTGAGAAACCATTCATTTACAATCATTGCTCCTCCTCTTTCAGTAGTTAAGACAATTTAAAGATGCACATGCGAACGAACACTGGTGAGAAACCATTCAGTTGCAGTCATTGCAAGGCATGCTTTTCTAATACAAGTAATTTATCAAAGCTTATCCGGACGCATACTTGTGAGAAACCATTCATTTACAATCATTGCTCCTCCTCTTTCAGTAGTTAAGACAATTTAAAGATGCACATGCGAACGCACACTGGCGAGAAACCATTCAGTTGCAGTCATTGTTCGGCTTACTTCTCTAAAAAAATCACTTTCAAGAGACATTTTCGAATGCATTCTGGCGAAAAACCCTAGAGTTTTAGTCACTCATCTCCTTTTCGGCTACAAAGGCATTTAACGGAGCGTACTGCGATCAGAGACCAGAGACCCTCCACTGATCTCTTGGCGACAGGTGGAAGCTTTTACTTTCGGGGATTCAACAATTCTAGGTACATGGATAATGATAATGGAGCAACAGTCATCACCCTAATAGCGGCTGTTGACTTGCCGACAAGGTGGATGATAAGCTTCTGGTGACGTCATGAGGCAAAGACGTTTCCCAAACTTCGGCCATTTTAGGCTTGTTTGCAAAACGGAAATGCCAACGCGTTGTTCAACATTAACCATGTAGGTATTAGCTAACATTAGAATACGGAAGTCTCGAAAGTAAAAGTTTCCACCATGACCAAGATACTAGTGGAGGGTCTCTCGTCTCTGATTGCGGTAAACCATTCATTCCCAGTGCTCTGCATTTTTGTCCAGAAAAAGTCGTTTAAATGAACGCATACGACACACATCGATCGAGGACCTTTCAGTCGCAGGCATCGCTCGGCTTCGTTTTCTGAAAAAAGTTCTCCATGGATACATATTCGATCGCACTCTGGAGAAACCCCGTAATTGTTATTATCAAACTAGAAGTTGAGACTATACAGATGACGTTATTTTTATTTTTTCCATTCAAGCACCTTTATTTGTCATGGAGTTCATTTCCACCGTTACCATTCGTCGTGTGACTCCGACTTTCTCGTCAAATATAGAGAAAACTTGTAGCGCAGTGCTCTGATTCCTGTCTCAGCTAGAGGCCCAAGACTTATTGATTATGAGAGCTTGTTTCTATTTTTGCTTTTTTCCGACGTTATTTTCTCTTCATCATAATTTGTAAGTGAATATACCTATTGCAGATATTTCCATTTGAATGTTCGAATATTTCTATATGAGCGCTGTGAAATCTCCCGTTATTTGATCAACTTTATAATTAATCTTCGCTCTGAAACTCCGGAATATTGAAGAAAATCCGAAATTCGTATTATTTTTGTTAAAATAGTTTGGTAATGAGCATGAGATTTCCCTATCGTAATTGGTAAGGCAATGTCTTATATTTGTAATGCATTTTGCAATCAGGAATTACAACGTTTGGCTCATCCGTGATAACACTGACGTGCATAGGGAAACCAATGGCACATAAATTGGACCGAGTTTAACAGAAAGGAACCAAGCCACACCAGCTATTGCCGAGTTTAACTGGGCCATTAAATTTTTTACGAGAGAACGGTTGTTCGGATTTCTTTGAAAATTTTAAGGACTTTGCTTCGCACCATGGAGAATTTTCACTGAAATTTGCACGGAAATCCGCACAACCGTTTTCATGTAAAAAATTGAATTGCCCGCTTAAATTTGGCAATAGGTGATGTGGCTTGGTTCCTTTCTGTTTAACGCGGTCCATTTGTTTCTAAACTGAGCCAGAAATTTTAGTTCTTAATTGCAAAATGTAGTCCAAATGTCCCAAGAAATAATGGCGTATGAGCCTCTAGAAGTTGCCAGATCACCTTTGATGACAAATGAATTTTTAAGAAATGCTATGAATATTTTTTCTCGAATTTTGTCCTTCGCACACAAGTGTTTCTACTGAGGAGCAAAAAATTGTAGTTTTGAAAAGCGAAATTTAGTCCACTTAAGGTAGTTTCGGAATGCAGAGTGCGAAAAATGCCTCAAAGATCCTGAAATATAGTTCAACATAATTGCATGATGGTGGCTCATTTAACCCGACTATAGTTATTAATAAAGAGGAAAATATGAGTGTTACATGTTTTTAAATAAATGTTTTATTATGATTACTAACATTATAATTATTCTTTGGTTCGTTGTGATTATTTATCACAATTATGTGCTGTCATTTTTAGTCGCTCTACATCATCTCTGTTCCTAATGTGAACCTCATTTAGTTTCGATTGCAACTCAGGGAGGCGTAAGGCACTTTAACATTGAATTCTAACATTCGAAGGGCTATGTAGTTTCATTAAAAGAGCGATTCTCTGTAACGCCTTTTGTGAAATTTTTTCCCACTGGCATAAGGGATTGTACTTTAAGGAAAAAGTAGCGGTGACTATCGCTAAATATCAGTATTTTATCGGTTCGAAATTATTGTAAGGCTAGGTAATGTTACAGGAACACAGGACCCAAAGGCATATGTACACAACAATTTTTGTTTTTCTTGACATTTACCGGTGCGTTTAACTCAAAAGAAAATACATCCAGTGGCGTGGCGTGCCTAGCGATGTATCGATTGATCTGCCACTTAAACCTATGTAAAAGGATTGATGAACAGGATGTTCGCAACGAAAATCTTAATAACCGATTCTTTACCACAGCTTCAAATGGGAAAATATCGACAATCGATCATTCACGCCTCACCAGTGAATACATCGTTCATGAAATGAGCCCTATCATGCATGTATTCTTGTGGATCTCAGGGCTTATTTGAGAATTGATATAAAATTCCTTTTGATTTAAATAACCTAATGGGTTATAGTTTGTTTCACTGGTCACAGCATTGTGTTTTGATGCTTCGTTCTTGCAGATTAGCTAAAAGTATTACGATTTGTCAAACAGCAACTTTCTACGTTCAATATCAACTGAGATATCGTATTTTAAAAATTCGGGGCTTGGACGTCATCCACCGCGGTAGTGACATCCTTGGTTTCCCCCGTCCTGCTTTCATCAGTCAAAGAGACACAAATGGACTGCATTTTGCAATTTGGACTTATAAATTCCGGCCCGGTTTAAAAACAACGTATGTGCCATTAGTATTTCCCTATGCACATAAGTGTTTTTTCGGATGAGGCAGATTTTATAGGTCCAAATTGCAAAATGCAGTCCAAATTTGCAAAGCAAGGTGGAAGAAACCAAGGACGTCACTATCGGGGTGGATGGCGCCAGAAACTCGACGTTTCAATAGGCGATATCTCGGTTCGTGTTAAACGTAGAAAGTTGCTGTTCGGGCCGATATTACTATTTTCAGCTAATCTAGAAAAATCAAGCGCGAAAACACGATTCTTTGACCAGCGCAACTGACTCATTTTGAGAGTACTCTGTTAGAAATAGCCAGAAGCGTCCAATCCTATTTACTGCCCAGCTAAAGGAGGTAAATTGGCTCGCATTTAGCGAAAAGGAATCAGCGCGATTACAGTGTCGTAAAAATGTTGCTGCTTCGTATTTATCTAAGAAATCTCCCAGAAAACCACATAGTGTTGGCTTCTC